TTGGGGACGTCCCAAGGGGGTGGAAGAGGGTCTCACCCAAGTTGTGCCTGGGCTGGGACCAGTAATAGGTCCCACCGGTGCAGGGTAGCCGGAAGGTGTCCTACACACTCACCGGGCCTGGGCTAGGACTTTCAAGATTTTTTTCTAAGGGAGTCAGAAGACTAATGATATGGGGTAAAGCAGAGAATTCGTAAGAACCAGAGTTAAGCTATATGTGAATCTATACTCTCAAAGTTTAATAAAGCTCACTTTTTATATTAATTTTAGTGTGTGTGACATGAACACATGCAGTTTTTCCTAGCAAGTAGAAGTATAATTTTAATAGGAATTAAGGTTGGGGCCGGGGAGATGGCTTAGTGGAATAAATGCTTCCCTGGCAAGTGCAAGGGTTTGAGTTCAATCCCAGGTTCCGCAAAAAAAAAAAAAAAGGTTTATACATTGTGTGTGTGTGTGTGTGTGTGTGTTGCAAATAATCAGATGATGGAGAAGGACTATTATTTATCCTTAGATTAATTGTTTTCCTTTTAATCTTTTACTGATTTTTATGTTTTTTTATGAATAAATTTGTTAGAGTAGAAGAGACTCATGTTTCAGAAAAACCAACATGCTTCTTTATTGTTCTTGAGTTGTACTGAAATAAGTGTATCTTCTTTTATAAAAGCTGAATAGTTTTATATATATATTTGTATATAGTAGATAAAAGGTTTTTTTTTCTTTCATTTACCTCTTTAAATCAGCTTTTTTGTATAAAGAGTGCACATTCATTTGACAGAGGTTGTTAATGATTTTGGGCCATGTAATCATTGAATAATGTGAAAATTGTACACATTTCTTTGCAAAATGTTGCACAATAAGAGTTTGCATGAATTTTAGGGAATTTACGAGTCTTCTGAAATTCAATGGGAAATACAAATCAAGTAGAATTACTATTATTTGTTTTCAAGGAGTGAAAAGGACAGTTGGCTACTCAAGATGTAGATGTCTGAAGTAACCAAGGTACCTATTCCAAGAAATGAATGATTGAGCTCAAGCATTTGATTTTTAGAGTAGTTATTGTAGCAATTTAGAAGAGAGATATACTCTTGGGAAGGGTTTGGTAGTAGTGGTTTGGACTTGCTAGTAGACTATGGTGGTATAGTAAGAGATTAAAAGGAAAACAATTAATATAATGATAAATAATAGTCTTTCTCCATCATCTGATTATTTGCAACATACACACACACACACACACACAAAATGTATAAACCTTTTTTTTTGCGGAACCTGGGATTGAACTCAAACCCTTGCACTTGCCAGGGAAGCGTTTATTCCACTAAGCCATCTCCCCGGCCCCAACCTTAATTCCTATTAAAATTTTACTTCTACTTGCTAGGAAAAACTGGAGTACTTTGGAAAAGTGTTTCATTTAAAAAAACTTCTTTTGTTTTCTTTATTTTTCAGGAACATAAGTTTGCTGCTTTTTTCTTCACCAAGCAGGATTTAGAGGGAATATCTTTGTTTTATTCTCTAAAAGTGATGACTTGCGGAGACCACCATTTGTGGTCTTCTTATTTGTAGTTGATGCTGTAACCTCTCAGGATTCTTTTCAGTATTGTTACCCTCACAGTGGACTTTATCTGGGAATGAATTTCCTTTGTTTTCTCGTCTCTCTTGGGTGTGCTGCTTTCAACATGGTCCTCCCTAGCCCTCCACTCTCCACTGCGGCTCTTAGAGCTTGCTCAGGAATGGAGCAGCTGGACATGTTGCTTATTTTGCTGTTATTAGAATGTGAAGTTTTTGGTGTTCTCTGTTGTCTACTCACACTAGGACCAGGATTTGTGTGGCTCTGGTGATTCTTGTTGATTGATCCATCTGTCTGTCCATCTTTTTTTTTTTTTTTTTTTTGAGAGAATGTGATGATTTAAGGAGTAATTTTTGAACTTTATCATTTAAGCTCAAGTTATTGATAAAAATTGTTAAATTAAGTTAAGAAATAATTACCTATATTCAGAAAACCCTACCACCGATCTTTTTTTTTTTTCCTGTATTTAGGACAGGGTATACAGAGTCCCACTATGTAAATTGGACTCCTAGTGATTCTCCTGTTTTTAGCCTCCCAAGTGCTGGGATTACAGGTGCACACCACCAAGCCCAGTCTCAGTGTGCCCTGTGTGCAGGGCCAACACAGCACACTGGAGATCAAACCCCAGCGACTGTGCTCTGACGAAGCAGGTGCTTTAGTCCACTGAGCTATCAGGCTGGTCCCCCTACCACCAATTTTTAATGCACCAATAACACAATATATATTTTCCTTTTCCTTTCTTTTGGAAGTGATGAGTTTTCTATGACAATAAGAATGAAAAAACAAGAAAATTTTAACTTTCTTTTTGAAATATGCCACTCAAAAATATTTATGAAATGAGCTTTGGCCTCATTCTTCATTTATTGAAAAATACTTACTTTGTATCATGATTGAATAAGTCCAACATCCAGTCATCCATTTGGCTGTGTCATTTTTCACGCTGGACCTTTTGTCTTTGCTAGCTGCTATCTAACAATGCCAGCAGTAAAATCATGTGAATTTCATATTAGTATGATTTCTTTACAAACTTTTTTTTTTATTTATAGGAATATTATCTGTGAGATACAAAAACTGGTACAAGTAAAATTTTTGACTTGTCAAAATCTTAAAAAAATAGCATTTATTGATTCATAGATAATACCTTGTGAGTTTTACCCTGTTTAATTTTTCCAGTTACTCTGTGAAAGGAAATCTTTATAGACTCTTTCAGTAGTTTTTTTTTTGTTGTTTTTAAAGAAGATGAAGGCTTAGATTAGGGAAGAAACTACACTATTTATGATACAGCGAGAAGTGAATCTAGGTTTGCCTGGTGCCAGGGACCATAGTCTATGTATCTCACAACTTGTCTTTGAGGCCTGAAATGTGTCATGTCTTTGATTTGTGTACAGCATGTGGTATTTGCCATGTTTCACAGTTTGTGAAATGCTTTTTAAAAATTATGTAGTCAGTGCTCTAACATACAAAATCTTGTGAATCACTAGTGTTCAGTAGTTATATTAATTTAGTTATATTTAGAAGACAAAAAATATTGAGCCATTTAAAAGGTAAATAACTTATAAAACAGTGATATGTAGTAATGGGAAAAGAAAAGAGCTCATTATAATTATCCAAAGCATATAAGGGCATGAAGTTTTCTTCTGAATTATAGAAAAGTTATTTTCTGCAAATCAAACTTGTTAAAAATAATAATTTTCAAAGTCAGGTAAGCTGGCATGGCTAGTCTTTACATAAAATTTTCATAGTTTTGGAAAATGTAATACAATATTTGATTTAAAAGAAAGAAGTTTTGAGAGTAGACCTAAAAGTGTCAATTTAATAGATTCATTAAATATCTGCTGTTGTTTTGTGACTTTCTCCTATTTAATTCACCAAAGTACTACGTAGTTTAAAAAATGCAGAGTTTAAATGACGAAGTGAATTTTTCTCTATTGTTATCTAAATCTTTCTAATAATAATAGCTTATCTAAATAAATTAGCAATGTGAAAATTTGGACTAAACAAAGATTTTAAACATAATGCCTATCTTGCAGGATAAGCAGATATTCAGGATTTAGTATAACAAGAATGAAAGATTATAAGAAGTCTTTGACATTTATAGTTTTAACATTGGCTTTAACTTAAAATACTCTATTAAAAAAGAGACTGTATGGGCCTGCAGTGCCGGCCGTGCCCCTGGGGCACGCTGAGATGGGGATTGAGACTAGATGTGGTGGTGCACGCCTGTAATCCTAGCTCTTGGCTGTAAACAGGAGAATCAGTATGAGTCTGATCTATGCAGTGAGACCCTGTAGACCCTGTACTAAATACATTTAAAAAAAAAAAAAAGAAGAAAAGAAATGACTAAACATTTACCTTAACTTTTTTTTTTTTACTGGGAGTTGAACTCAGGACCTTGTGCTTGCCAGGAAGGCACTTAAGCCTGCTAAGCCAGCTTCCCTGGCTCTTGCCTTATCTTTGTGTTTTAATGAGCGTAGGATGAATTCCTTTTTGCAAATTATCCGCAGGCAGTCTTCCTTTTTCTATTATTTGATAGCTCCACCTCTCACCTTTTAATGATTTTAGTGTCAGGTATTGCTAAAACATTTAATTTAGAGATAGTCTTTTTCTTTTTCTTTTTAAATAAATAGTTAATTTATTTGTCTCCCAAGAAGTGTTACAGAATACTTCTCATGTTTCTTAAAATGGATGATATATATACTTTATTGTACTTCAGTTTAAAGTTGTATTTTCAAAACGCAAATTAGGTACATTTTGATGCATATGTTGTACAAAACCTGCCGTGCTTCCTATTTTTCACTTAGTGTTTTCTTAGAAAGCACTGAATACTAGCACCATATGTAATTCTTTCTTCATAGGCTGCTTTGTATCGCCTCAGTGGAGACTGGAATCCTTTACACATTGACCCAAACTTTGCAAACCTTGCAGGTGAGTTGCTAGTAAGTATAGTGAAAAACACTAGCTCAATTATCTAAATAATATTCTTGAAGACACTGCTACTTATATCTAATAATTTGAGTGGCAGTTTAAAAATAGTTCTCTTATTTTTGCAGAGAATATGGAAAGGTGGGATTATAATATTGAGAAGATAGCATGCTTGAAATTTAGATGCTGGTAGAGTGAAGCTACTGTGTATGCCAAGAGTAGACAAGCCTGTGGGGAGGGTGTCCGCGATATCAGGAAGGACAAGGCCACTGACAGCGCAAGGAACCAGAAGGTTGGGAAGGGACTATCACTCTGCATGGACATTGAAATATCTCACTACCAGTGATTTTCATGGGTTTGGGTTCCCAAATTGCTCACATTCTTTTCTTGTGTTTTCCTTTATTGTTTGAAATTGTCTCCCAAGAAGTGTTACAGAATACTTCTCATGTTTCTTAAAATGGATGATATATATACTTTATTGTACTTCAGTTTAAAGTTGTATTTTTAAAATACTAAATTATCTTTTAAATGTGAAAAGTACCTATTTTCATTTATATCCTCTCCCCCCTTAAGGTTTTGAGAAGCCCATATTACATGGATTATGCACCTTTGGATTTTCAGCAAGACATGTTTTACGTCAGTTTGCAGATAATGATGTGTCAAGGTTCAAGGCAATTAAGGTGCATATATAACTTGAATGTTAGTTCTTTATCATTACAGGAATTTTAGTGGCTTAATTTTTGGTAGTTTTTTTTTTTTTTTTTTTTTTTTTTTTTTT